CTTAACAACCCAAGGTTCTAGTCCCTTATGTTAAACAAATGTCCAGAACTGGTATGATAACTCCTGAGGTCATTAGCAACTTCTAGCTCTCTGCTCTGTCACTCCGGGGTTATGACTCTATCCTCATTGTTGAAGATGGCTGCTAGATCCCTAGCCATCACATCTGCATTCCAGGCAGCAGGATGGAGAAAGGAATGAAGAAAAAGGGGCAAAGAGCACACTCTGGCATCCTTATAAATCTGTTTATGGGAAGTTGTTTCCTTGAAGCCATGCAACACATCTGTGTGACTTTTAGCCATGTGGCCATATCTAGCTGCAAGGGAGGTTGGAAAGTGCAGTCTTTATTCTCTATAGTCATGTTCTTACCTAAAAGTTGGAGCTTCTAATATTAAGAAGGAATGAACAGCTATTGTAGTAAATTATTTGTCTCTGTCATGGTTACACGGTAAAAAAATAAGCTTAACTCCTTCCCTGGGCAGCCACTGCTGGCATTTCTTGAATATCTGAAAAAAGCCATGTCTCTTTTGCCCAAGATTTTTTTCCCACTCTGCCAAAAGTCACTGTGTCCTGTCCCTACTCCACCCTTAGAAATATGCCATGCCACTTCTTATCTCTCGTTTGATTCTAGCAAAAGCTCTATGAAATGGGTAGGGCAGATGTCGTAACCCTCATTTTACAGGTGAAGAAACTGAGGCCCAGAGAGGTAAACTGACTTTGCCTAAAATCGTAGTGTAAAGGATAAAGCTGATCTTTCTATGGGGGCAGGACAAGGTAGGATGTGTTTCCCAAATATAGGACACATGCAAGATGGTATCAGGCAGCCAGTGGTGAATACATTTCCAATTCCTTTCATAACTTGAAAGAGGAAGTCTTAATTTGGTGCTAATATGTCTTTAACTCCTCTCACACTAATAGGTCTTTGAAACAAAAAGGGATTAGCCCTCAGGCTCAGAGCATTTGGCAGGCAAAAGTATCTACTAGAATCTAAAAACATTGTTTTGGCTTCATTATATTTATAGTGTCTTTCTACTTATGGCAAATGATCCTGGTTTCCTTTTCTTTGAAAGCGACTTAAATTTAAATCTGTGTTAAAAAGCAAATTTATTCAGAGAAAAACATTAAGGTCCTATCTGCATACAGATCTCACCACTTACTAGCTTGTGACATTGGATCAGATACTTGATTCCTCTGAGCCTCAGTTTCCCCATCTCTAAAATAAGGGTGATATTTTTTCCCACCTCATAGTTTTTTAATAGGATTAAATGAGACAATGAATGTCAGGATCTTAGCACCCTGACACATAGTTAAGCACTCAATGCTATTTTTTTAAACATTATTATCACATTATTTAATAATACTAATATTATTCATCTTAGTTTTGTCATAACACCTCCTGGTTGATTGGAGAAGGGAAAGTCAAGGGACTTTGGGGCAACTGGTTGGAGAGAGTCCATTCTAGGGCTCCTGTCCCTACACCAGTGATTTTAAATCAGGGATAATACCCTTATCCCCCCCAGGAGACATCTGGCCATGTCTGGAGACATTTAAAAAAATTATTACGACTGGGAGTGGTAGTGCCACTAGCTTCTGGTGGGTAGAGGCCAAAGATGGTGCTAAATATCCCACAATGCACAGGATGGCCCCCTGCCATGAAGAATCATCCAGCCTGAATGTCAAAAACACTGAGGTTGAGAAACCTTGCCCCACTCTGCACCCTGCACCTGTGTCTGTGCCTCAGCAGCAGCTAGCTCTTCAGTCAGCTCATTATTTCCAAAAGAGACTTGAACTTGGAACCCAAAGACCACAGCCTCAGTTTCCTCATCTAGCAAATGGGAATGCTGAAGCCTGACTTGTCTGTATTCATTCCATCTCCTGATGGTTGAGCCTCTTGGGCACTTCCCTGGCCTAGGCTGTCCGTATTGGTCTCTTCCTCTCTTCCCTCAGGTCCAAGGAAACCTGTCTGATTGGCTTTTCTCCATTGGTTTGACTTCTGGGTGTTTCTCCCTGCAGAGCAAAGGAGGCAAAGTGAATGACCCAGCCTTTTCTGCCCACCCCGGTTATTCTGGGTCTCAGCTCCTGGTTTGTTTACTTTGAAGCAGTCCTTCACTTGGATAACTATTCTACTTGTGTGTTGACTTGTTGATTTTCTATCTCCCCATATGCCTCTGCTCCCATGCCTGCCTGTGTCCCGAGCACACTGCACAGTGCCTGGCACATAATAGGCACTCATACATTTATTTGTGGAATGTACCAAGGGAGAGGCCAAGAGAGAGGATAGGGTGAGGGGATAGACATAGAGAAGGGAGAAAAGACAGAGAAGGAATAGAGAAGAGGAGGGGTATTGAACAGATGTTAAATGCTGAGAGACCTAAACAGAAAAAGGAAAAGGAAGGGTCGAGACTGAGACTTAAGCACAGTATAGGGGTGTGTGTGTGTGTGTGTGTGTGTGTGTGTGTGTGTGTGTGTGTGTGTGAGAGAGAGAGAGAGACAGAGAGAGAGAGAGAGAGAGAGGTAGAGAGAGATAAGAGAGGCAGAGAGAGACAGAGGGAGAGAGAGAGACAGAGACAGAGAGAAAGGGGGGAGGGAGGGAGGGAGAGAGGCAAAGAAAGACGAATACAGGAGAGGTACCCTGAGGACTAGGTGGGCACGCGGACAATGGGCAGAGCTGACCACCACCCCAACTCTGTCATCACTGTCATGTAAAACCCAGGTTAAGTACCCCGAGGGCCTGGAGTGGGGTCAAGGGCCTCACAGCTCCAACCAGAGCCCTGTGGAACCTTTGCGTCTCAGACACAGTAGCCCAGATGCTGGTGGGAACAACAGACAGTAAGAGGGAAACATCAAGCCAGCAGACAAAGTCATAGCTCCACAGAAGGTGAAACCCGGGGCCAGATCTGGATTTCCTCTGGCTATTTGCCTAACTCCAGCTGGAACTGACCTTGGCTTGGGGGGAAGGGGAAAATAGCAAAAGAAAATCTGCTTGACCAAGTAGGACAGGCTGGATTCCTAGGAGAAACAAATTCAGTTAATAATAAGATAAGATTAGAGTTGATTAAACATATACTCCCTTAGGCTAAAACTTGATTTGAAGGTCAGGATGTTTGTTCCTTAACCGAATGCCTTAAGGCTTAATATAACATCTGTAATACCAATCTCAAGTTGTCTTCACCGAACACCTGCTGCTACAAACCTGCTTTGAAGTTTGTACACTTCCAGACTTGAAGGAGACAAGGAGGACCTTAGCCAGGATGCCAGAAATAATTACACAGACACTCACATGCTTCCTGAGACCCTCTACCCCAATCCCTGCCCTATAAATATCTGTGATTTTAAGTTCTCAGGAAGTCCAGGGTCTTAAAGCTCTTTTAGCTACCATGGCTCCTTTGAAAGGCCATTTAAATAAATGCTAACTTTCAACATGGCAAACTTTGGTGCGAGAGACTTCTTAGTCCTTTGAGTGGTGGGTGAGGAACCCCTTTCAGTTTGGTAACAAAGGGAAGACCATGCCTCCACATTTGCTCACTTAAGCTGGGTGGCTCTGATTGGCTGTTGCCAGAGGGAGGCAATGTGCTGATTGGCTCAGGCTTGGGTCACTGGCACCAGGCTAAGTGCTGGGAAAAAGCCCACCCAGACCACCTGGGCTGGAATTGGAAGAGATGGGTTGTTAGACACAAAGGGTGTGGATGCTAATGAGGGAACCATTTTGAAGTCCCTTCTTGGCCTGCCCCTTCTTCCTTTCTCTCTCTGTCTGTCTCTCCTCACCTGAAACCAACGCCCCCCCTTCATTATTTCCTTATTTGTGTAATATTTTTACTGTTATGACTAGCTTTAATAACAACAGCTGACATTTCTCAGGGACTTACTGTGACAAGCACTTTACAGTTGCTTCCTCCTATAATCTTTACAATCACTTGGTGATACCATCATTAGCCCCGTTTGACAGATGAGGAAACTGAGGCTTAAAGATGAAGGAACTGGCTCAAGGTCACTGAGCCAGGATTTGAGTCCCAGCCTTCTTAACCACTTTGCCATAAAGCACCTCTTCCTCACTATACTGCAAACTCCACGAGGCTAGAATATGAAGGGTCTTCAAAAAGTTCATGGGGGTTGGCCAATTAGCTCAGTCAGTGCTGATAACCCCAAGGTCAAGGTCCAGGGTTCAATCCCTCTACCAGCTGGCTGCCCCCCTACCCCCCAAAAAAGTTAATGGAAAATTCATATTATTAATTCTACTTTTCCACAAACTTTTCAAAGTACCCTGTTACAAGTACTTCCCCCTGCCCCGGGCCTGGTCTACTGCATGGCACCCAGTGGGCCGTCAAGAAACACTACCTGAGTGAGTGCCTGACACTGAGTGAAGTGTCTTACAAGCAGTACTTCATTTAATCCTGGCCACCACGCTGTGAGGTAAGTACTGTGGTTTCTATTGCACAGACAGAAACAGGCCCGTTCAGAGTCAGTGGCACCCCCCCAGGGTCCTACCGCCGAGTAAGTGGAAGAACTAGGTTAAACCCTGTCCTTCGCACTCCACAGTCTGTTCACTTAGCACAGCACTCCACCGCTTGAGTGAGAACGAATTTCCAACATCTTGAAGGAAAGGAAAATGGCACCCAATAAACACATTTGTTGAACGAATGACAACAAAGTAAAAAAACGATGGCCAACATGCTAGAAGGAGCTGAAGGCGGTGGCTGTGGTTTGCTATTTTCTCATATTTCCTGGAAGGCTTCCTGGAGGAGGAGCTGATTTGATGGGGGAGGGAGAGGGCATTGAGGTTCTAGAAAGTTTCTGCTCCCCGAGGCGGGAGGCCCTCGTCCCTGTCTCTTGTCTCTCTGGCAGCCACTGGAAGCGGTTAACAAGCACTCAGCTGGGATGATGGGCGGAGGGGCGTGCTGGCAGCCAGTGCGAGGAGGGCTTCTGGTGTCCTGAGACCGGAGCATAACGACCCCTTCTCTCTTCCTTCCTGCCCCGGCGGTGGGCCCTGCGCTCGCGCCCCTCAGCGCTGTGCCTCGTCCTGGGCTGCATGATCTTCCCCGACGGCTGGGACGCCGAGACCATCCGGGACATGTGCGGGGCCAAGACAGGGAAGTACTCCCTGGGGGACTGTTCGGTGCGCTGGGCCTACATCCTGGCCATCATCGGCATCCTCAACGCCCTCATCCTCTCCTTCCTCGCCTTCGTGCTGGGCAACCGGCAAACAGACCTGCTGCAGGAGGAGCTGAAGCAGGGGAACAAAGGCGAGTGCACGCGCGGGCGCGGGGCGCGGGTGCGTTCCGCACACGTGGGAGAACATCTTGCAAAGGTGGCCTTATCCCTCAGGTCTGCTCATTGACCCAGCAGACCCACCTCGCGGTAAAAAACCCGTGAGAAATGTGCAAGAGTGCTGGTGGCAGCGGTTTCATAAGAGCAAACAACTAGAAACAACCTAAATGGCCATCGACAGGAGGATAGATAGATTAATTGTGGTATATTCACATCACTGCGTAGTTCTCAGCTGTGACAATGGACGCCCTTCAGTTCTGTGTGGCGGAATGGATGCGTCTTGGCAACATAATATTGAGAAAGGTAAAAAAGATCAAGTTCCAGAGATGACAGAGTGACATTTTTATTGAGCTCAAAACCAAGAAAAACTAAGCGTGTTGTTTAAACATATATGCATTTATGGTAGTACCATATATATATATATACATGCACATATAAGAAACAGGGAAGAAATGATTAAAACAGAAAAGGCAGGATAATGGTCACCTGTGGTTGGGATGAAAGGAGGAAGCCTGGGCACAAGCCAAAGGCAGGTGGGGATGTGCACGTTACTGCAGTGTTATAGTTCTGGACTGGTGAGTTCACAGGTGTTTATTACAGTATGCTTTATGATTAGTATTATCAAATAAGGTTAAAATACAATAAAGAAATATTTTATACCTAAGGCCAGAGCCTCTGGAATAACGGCCGTTATCAGACCCTTTCCTATGCATGTACAAACATTACAACAGAAGATGAAGGAACTGTAGTTTATTTAATTATTCTTTCAGGGGCTGTTAGGGAGGGTTCCAGTTTTTTACTATAACTGACAATGCCTAATGAACATCTTCGTAGTGCCTTCTCTACACATGTGCGAGTGTTTTCTTGGTGCCTTTCCAGAAGTGGAATTGTGTGCTTCAGATTGTAATGCTAGTGCCAGATCGATTTCCAAAGGGGTGGTACCCAGCAGTCCTCTGACCCAGAGGCCGACCCTTCCCCAAGAGCAAGGGGACACGCTGCACTGGTGGACGCTTGTCTGTCTGGGCGTGCGCTCTTTACTTTGAGAAATGAGAGTAGTGATGTTCATAGTCACACCCTTCTTGAGCTGTTGGTATGTGCTGGGTCTGTGTTTAGCACTTACATTAATTATATTCATCTCCTGGAGTCTCTCCTCACCTATACAATGGGAATAACAGCAGTGAGGATCAAGTGAAATTAACATATGCACTGTGTTATCTCATTTGGCAGGAGGTAGTTTAGTGTTGTGATTAAACTCTTGGACTGTGGAAGCAGATTGTCTGTATTGGAAGCAGGTTGAGCTTAGAAACTACTTAACCTTCAGCTTCAGTTTCCTGCATTTCATAAAATGAGGGTGATGAGAATTGTACACCTCCCAGGGCTGTCATGTGAGGTAGAAAGAATGATTGTGCTTGTGAAGTGGCAGGCAGGGTCTGCCACGTGGTGAATGCTCTGTCAAAGCTGTCAATCCTCACAACTCCCGACCTGCATTTCATAAAATGAGGGTGATGAGAATTGTACACCTCCCAGGGCTGTCATGTGAGGTAAAAAGAATGATTGTGCTTGTGAAGTGGCAGGCAGGGTCTGCCACGTGGTGAATGCTCTGTCAAAGCTGTCAATCCTCACAACTCCCCATGAGGCAGGTATCACCACCACAAGTGAGAAAGCAAGCCCAGGTTCAGAGAGCTTGAGTAACTTGCCGGAGGTCATTTAAGTGGTGGAGTCAGGATTTGAGCCCAGGTCCAAGTCCAAAGCCCAAGCTCTTGCCTGCTATCACACTGCCTGTCTCATCCTGGTGAGGCCAGAGATTTCCTGTCCCAGTGTCTCCTGGGTTGCTGGTTTGCTAACCGGTCCTCAGAAGCTCCTTCTGATAGAGACTCTTAGACCAGGTGGTTTCTGTGGTTCCTGGTGTGGGGTCAGGGCCTGCCCTCTGGTGGCAACTTCCAGAAGTGCAAGACTTTGGGGAAGTGACAGGTGAGGTGGGCCCACCGGGGGTTCCTGCCACCCTCCCTAAAGCCACCTAACAACTCAGTGTTATAAGTGATGGAAGGGAGAAAGTTGCCTTCTTTCAGCGCCTGGGGATCTCCATCCCTTATGGAGAGTTTGCAGTGAGTGAGCCTCGTAGTTCAGTTCTGAGCCAAAGACCTCTGGAACAAAACTAAAAAATAAAATTGCCATTATTTCCAGCATTTACTATGTGCCAAACATTGTGCCAAGTCCTTGGCTGACATTATTTGTCTCTTTTTGACCCTTCAGAATTGCCCTGTGACATAGGCTATTATCCCCGTTTTACAGATAAGGATGTCCGGCCGGTTAGCTCAGTTGGTTAGAGCACAGCCTTATAACACCAAGGTCATGGGTTTGAATCCCTGTATTGGGACAAGCCACCAAAAAAAGATGAGGAAATCGGGGCTTGGAGAGGACCAGTGGCTTGCTCAAGGCCATGCTGCTAGTCAGAGGCTTGGTTGGGATTCCAGAGCCTGTGCAGTTCACCTGTCTGTCCACATTTGCCCTGGGGAGTGGCTGAGGGGAACTCTAATGCCTGGGTGGTCTCTGACTTTCTCCAATTCTCTCTCTCTCTCTCTCTCTCTTAGATTTTGTGGGCACTACAGTAAGCTCCGTGTTACGGCCAGGGGGTGATGTCTCTGGATGGGGAGTCCTCCCCTGCCCTGTCGCTCACTCACAGGGACCCTGAAGGCCAGGATCACAGCCCAGGAATTGACCTGACCTCAGCTTGTCCTGTCTCCTGCCCTCTCATCCCTCCATTCAAGCTCCGAGGGAAGACCCCAATCTCAGACTGACTTCTCACCTCCCGCTGGCCTGCGAGCTCCAGGCTTTGATGAGAGAATGGGGCCAGGATGCAGCTGGGGGGAGGGGAGAGGCGCTCCAGATGCTGGGAGGGCCTGATTCTGGCTCCTACCTCAATTTTACCTAAGGGAGCCGGAATCCCCCAGTTGCTTGGGCTTCTTCTTCTCCTCTCTGGCCTGGCTTGGAGGCCCCAACTCCCCAGGCCCCCTCAGACTGGAGGGCTGTGGCTTGGCTGTATCCTTACCTCCTCTGGTCCCTGCCACCTACAGAAATGTATTCAAGACACTGCCCCACAGGGGGCCGGACTCTTTCCTACTTTTTTTTGCCCTTGATGGTTCCACCACATCTGCCACAGAGCTCCAGGTGCCACCAGCCTCCCCAGGGCCTCCTCTGCCCCCGCTCCAGCCTGCTCGCAGCTCTCCCAAAGGAATCTGAGCTGCGCAGAGGGAGAAAGCACAGGGCCTCCCTGTCCACCGCTGCCTGGGCCCCGCTCAGCCCAGAGCCTGAGAAAAGACATTCAGGCTCTGGAGGCTGCAGGAGGTGGCCCCTGATCTCGGCAGCTGGAGCTTGGGAGCTGCGCAGACTGGGCTGGCCTGGCCTCCTCTCTGCTGGGATGTGTCACCGTGACTGGACCCTTGACCCTGGCCTGTTTTGTACAGCACAGACTTCTTGGCCCTGTTGTCAGTGTTGGGGGTGTGGAGGGGGCCCAAAGGTGGGGAATTAGGGGATGCACCACCCCTTCTGTCCTTTCTCACATCCTCCACACCCTGGCATCTGCCAAGGGCAGAGACTGTCTTGCCTCTTTGATACTTTTCTGCATAACTTGAACTTGCAGGTCACCTCTGAACAGGGTACCCCTGTCCTCCCACCCCCAGGCCTTGTCACCTGTCCCTGCCGCCTTCTCCTCCTTTCCCTCTACTCTCCTTGTGATATGCCCAGGGTCTGCAGCCTGACGGGCAGAGCTTAGAGCCGGGGCACGAGTGTGTGCGTGTGCGAGTGTGCGCGTGCGTGTGCGAGGGTGCGTGTGCGTGTGTGTGTGTGTGCGCATGTGAGTATGTGCGTGGGGGGCAGATGAGAAGTATTCTCTCCCCCTCTCCTCCCACTGTGGGGGTATCTCCTTCCCCTTTAGCAGGGAGCAGGTGAGGAAGACTCCAGGTGTTTTTTGAACACCCCTCGTTACCTTGTGGATTTGGCGGCAGAGCCATCCAGCCCTGGTTGTCCCCACCCGGGGACAACTCGTGAGCGCGCCTAGTCGAGGGGCGGCAGGCCGGCTTCATGCACGGCGCCTCCTCCTGGCTGCCGGGTCCGCGGCTGCACCGGAGCGCGGCGCCCCCTGCAGGCTCAATGGGGAAGCGTGTCGTTATCCTGTAGTTCCGGGGGCCTCAGCCAGAGCGGGGAGGCAGCCTGAGTGCCACGTATTTGCCCACCTTGTGTTCATTCCCACAGGACTTGGACCTGAGAGTTAGCATTGCCGAGAAAGACCCTAGAAAGTCTTTGCCTGGCTCCCCCATCTGGACCCTAAGCGGATCAGACACTGGGTCCTGGTAGGACTCCTGACGCCAGGACCTTACCAAGCCCTGACCCCACCTCCTCCGCTGGCTCCCCTTGGGCAGTCACCGCCCCCATCTCTGGCCCCAGCACTGTGCTCCCCTCTCCTGTCCCCAGCAAGCCCCTCCCTGCAGCCACGCCGCTGGGGGTGGGGCTGTACAGCAGGATCCGTGTGACATGGGGGGTGAGGGGAACCTCATGGCGGGGCGGGCAGGAGTGAGTTCCTCCAAGACACAAACCAAAGCCCAGTGTCGGATGGGGAGGGGCCAGGAGAAGTGATCAGGAATGGGGAGAGCACAGAGTGGGGACAGAGAGGAGGCCGGGAGGAGGAGAGGTACAGAGAGACCGAAGAGGGGCAGATGGAGGAAGGAGAGAGGAAGAGAGACAGAGGGGACCATGAGGGACAGAGAACATGGCAGGGGGGTTGGGCGATGGATGGAAAGATTGAAAAAGGACTAGGACTGGGGGAGCAGTGACAGGAGAGGGGGTTTGGGGAAGGGCGGCAAGACTGGGATGCAGAGAGAAGGGAAGGAGAGACAGAGCCTGAGCACTTGTTCCGCCAAGGACACCTACCGTCCAAGGGGCCACCAGACCCCTGTGCCCTGGTGGAGAGGTTACAGCTGACCCCCTCAGAGACCAAAGGCTGGAGGCCCAGGGCACAGGCAGCCGAGACACCATCCCTTCGTGGAGGCTTGGGGTGGGGGACCCACAAAGGAGGGCAGAGGGGAACCGAGTCCAGACTGTGGTAGGAGTGGGTGAGGTACAGAAGAGGGGGGCCAGTTTCCTTTGGGGCCACTGGACAATGTTCCCATGCCCCCTGCCCCTAACCCCAGCCAGTCGCTGCCCTGGCAAGTAAGGAGCAGCCTGGAGATACAACAACTAGTTTGGGGTTAGGGAAGCGGGGTTGGGTGGGCTGAAGTCTGAGGTACTCCCAGAGTAACACAGGGAAGGAACAGAGGTTGGAGTGGGGACCAAACTGTAGCCTGGCCCCTGAGGGGTCAGCAGAGGTGGGAACAGAGGGGGTAACAGGCACTTCAGCCAGGGGCCCCGGGTGAGGCTTTCCCCGGGGCGATGCAGACACCATGGGAAGGTTCGCCTTCACCCGAGGCACGTAATTTGGCTTTAGCCTTCAGGAAGTGGTCAGCAGAGAAGGTCAGCATCTCTGTTCTGACCCCAGGAAGGCCTCTTAGGCTCTAAACTGGAGCCTTCTGGCTCTAGGTCCCTGGAAGAAATCCTCCAGGAGCAACTGTGACTGGATCGGGGAGGATCTGGCACTACCCACTTTCCTCTGCCCTGGTGTGGGGACTCTTTCAGGAGAGGCCAAATCAGCCACCACCTAGACATGGTTCAGTCTCTGGTCCATAGCACTGGTCAGTAAAGTCCTTCTGGGCCTCGGGGATGTGAAAAAGTTCCTCACTGGGGGCCAGTACCATGGAGGAAAACTTTTCCTGAGGGAGTGAAGAATGTGGGTAGGATCAAGATTCTTTTCATCCTGGAATAGCTGAGAAGATGAGAGCTTGTAGACAAGCCTGTTTGGAAAGATTCTCTGGCCTTTTGAGATTCCTGCTTGGGCGTAGGGAGAATCACCCTTCTCCAGCTTCCAGTGTGAACAGAGAAAAGGAAATGCTCTCTTTGGAGAAGGTGGGATCTTCCCAGCACAAGAATCTTCTGCAGGCCCCTGCCTGGCTCAGGGCCAGGCTTTGGGGGGGACTGGTGTTTCCTGAGAAGGGAGTGAGGGAGCCACAGTACTTCCCAGAGCTCTGCCTGGCAGTCCTTTGAGGGCCTGTGCTGTGTGTTGTTAGGATAGTTTGGTGTTGTCTACACCCCATTAGTAAGTTCTGTCTGAATGTGTCCTCGCTGTTCGTTGTCCAATTTGGTAACATTTATTTTGGTCCTGACCCCTTCTGCTGCTGCTGGATTTGAGCTTCAGTGCAGGTGGAATGACGTTCAAATAAAGAAATGCTTTATATCACCCATGCTGGCTGCTGCTTCTCTGAGTCAGTCCCCATGGGATCAAGAGGGGTGAGATTCAACCTGACCTCTTGTATCAGGTTTGACTGCGTATTAACAGAGTCCTACTACTGTGGTTTAACGAGACAGTTTATTTTACTTTCACATTTAAAAAAAAAAAAAAAAAACAAGTCTGGAGGTAGCCGGAGCATGACTGATATGGCCTACAATGTTATCAGGAACCCAGACTCCTATCTTTCTGCACAGCCATTTTCAATCCTGGCTTCCATCCTCAGGAACACCTCATGGCCCAAGACGGCTGCTAGAGCTCCAGTCACCTGGTCTACATTTCACTGGAGGAAACTTCTGGAAATCCCATGGGACTGAGTCGCACAGCACAGGTAGCTGTAAAGGAGGCTGAAAATGTAGTCTGTTGACTGGGCACATTGTCAACCTAAATAAAATTGGGGTTCTGTTAGAAAGGAGAGAATGAATGGAGAGGGTAGTCAGCAGTCTCTGCACACTCCTGACAGCGCGGTTTGACTTTGGACTTAAGACTCTGACTAAAGCAAACAAGCATCACACTCTTCTGCCTGTGTGTACTTGGATAAGTCACTTCACCTCTCTCTAAATCCCCGCTGAATAAATGGGGATAACAGTGGTGACTATCTCACAGGGAAGTTGTAAGGAACAAGGATGGAATTTATGAGAATTGCTCAGCACAGCATCTGGTACATTGTAATGTACCCATATGGTAGCCTCATTGACTATAATTTTTGCCCTTGGGAGATGAATCTTCATTCAACACATTTTTTCTTTCTAGCAAGCCTGATCATGGTTGATGTTCAACACATTTTCAGCACTTAGTGTACGCTAAGCACTTAAGCCAGAAAAAAATGAACAGAACAGAGACCCTATCTTAAGGGTAAGTCTGATTGGGAAGATAGATGAACATGTAAAAATAATGTATAATTTGCTAAGTGCAGGGTGTCATGGGGGCTCTGGGTAGGGACACCTTCCATGGTGTTTGGTGGGGTGGGCAGAGTAGGGGAAGGTTTTAATGGGGGAAGGGGAGGAGTTAGGCAGGCAAGGGTCAGGAAGGCCATTCACGGAATAGAAGGCACCTTGAGGAAGGAGACCGAGGCAAGAAGCAGAATTGTAGGGGCAGAGAACCAAAAGCCACTTAGCAATGCTGAAGTGTAGAGTGTGAGGCAGGGAGGGGTAAGAGGGGGGTCTGGAGAGACAGGCAAGGGCCACATCGTGAAAAAGCTCAGAGGCTGTGTATAGGGATCGGACATAAGAGCAATGGGGACCACAGAAGGATTTTAATCAGGAGAGGGACACAATTAGATTTGCATTTTAGAAACATCACTTGGGTTGTGGTGTTAGGGGGCTGAGTTAAAGGGGGACAATTTCAATGACAGGGAAATGAGAAGCCTGCCTGAAGCAAGGTGATGGCAGTGGTTCTTTAGAGAAGTAAGAAGTTCGATAATCAGGACGTAGAACTGAGGACACTTGGTAACCAATTGATTGTGTGGATGGGGATAGACTGGCCTTAAGGAAGACAGTTACATTTTTTGCTTGGGACACTAGAAAGATTTGCCAATATGGCAGGGGATCAGGATGATCAGTTCAGGGCTGGCTGGTTAGTCCAGTTATTTAGAGCACGTTGTTATAACACCAAGGTCAAAGGTTCGGATCCCTGTACAGGCCAGCTGCCAAAAAATAAACAATCCCCCACCACCAAAACAAAGATGATCAGTTCAGTTTGAGATGTGCTGGGTTTAAGATCTATGTGCAACACCTTGGTGGAGTGTCCAGAGGACAGTTGCCTTATATAGATTTGGGAGCACAAGAGAAAAATCTGGGTCAAAAATGTCAGCTACAGGTAATGGTTGAAATCAGAAGCATAGATGAGCCTGCTCAGGGTGACTGTCTAGTGTGAAAAGAGCACGGGGCCATGGAACACTGGCAAACACCACAACATCAAGGACAGCCAGAGGAATGGAAGTCCACAGAGGAGAGGACAATGGAGAGAGAGCCAGAGGGCTGTAAGGAGAACTTAGTGTGGTGTTACAGAAACCGAGGACTTAAAGTTCAAGGAGAAGGTCAACTGGTCAGATGGAGCAGAGAGGTTCAGTATAAGGGACTGAAAAATGTGTCCACGGGATTTGGGAACAAGGAGGTCACCAGTGAACTTGGTAAGAACATGTCAGGAGTGTGGGGAGAGCACAATTGATGTCTGCTTGGTGGGGGAGAGAGTGGGAGGAGACTGAGTGGAGATGACGATTTGAAGTGCGGGTAAGAAGGGGAAACGAGTGATGGGAATTCATTCAGGAATTATCAAGTACACGAAAGGAACCAGCAGTGGACAAGGATCAGCGTGTTACCTAGA